TAAATGGGACTGCTTCCTCAATTTCTCTTTCTGATCTTCCATTGTTACTATATAGAAGTGTAACAGATTTGTGTACATTAATTTTGTATCTTGAAACCTTGCTGAATTAATTTATGAACTCTAGTAGTTTTCTGGTAGCATCTTTAGGATTTTCTATGTATAGTATCATGTCATCTGTGAACAGTGAGAGTTTCACTTTTCCAATTTAGATTCCATTCGTGTCTTTTTCTTTTCTGATTGCTGTGGCTAGGACTTCTAAAACTATGTTGAATAAAAGACATCCTTGTCTTACTCCTTATCTTAGAGGAGATGTTTAGTGTTTCACCATTGAGTATGATGTTAGCTGTGGATTTGTCATATGTGGCCTTTATTATGTTGAGGCATGTTCCTTGTATGTTCACTTTCTAAAAAGTTTTTCTTGTCATAAATGGATGTTGAATTTTATCAAAATATTTTTTTCTGCATTTATTGAGATGGTCATTTAATTTTTATTCTTCACTTTGTTAATGTGGTCTTATCACACTGATCGCTTTTCAGATATTGAAAAATCCTTGCATCCCTGGGATAAATCCCACTGGATCATGGTATATGATTTTTTATTACACCATTGAACTCAGTTTGCTAGTATTCTGTTGCGGACTTAGTGATATTGGTCTGTAATTTTTTTGTGTGTGCTATCTTTGTCTGGTTTTGGTGTCAGGGTGATGGTGGTCTCATTGAATGAGTTCAAAAGTGTTCCTTTCTGTGCAATTTTTGGAGGAGTTTCAGAAGGATAGGTGTTAAATCTTCTCTGAATGTGTGGTAGAATTCATCTGCGAAGCCATCCGATCCTGGACTTTTTTGTTTGCTGTGAATTTTTGAGTGACATATTTAATTTCAGTACTTGTAACTGGTCTGTTCATACCTTCCGTTTCCTCCTGGTTTAGTCTTAGTTGGTTGTGCCTAAGAATTTGTCCGTTTCTTCTAGGTTGTCCATTTTATTGACACATAGTTGCTTGTAGTAATTTCTTATGGTCCTTTGTACACTTGTGGTGTCCATTGTAACTTTTCCTTTTTCATTTTATTATTTTGGGTCCTCTTCTTTTTTTCTTGATGAGTATGGTGAAAGTTCTATTAATTTTGTTTATGTTTTCAAAGAACCAGCTTTTAGTTTCATTGATCTTTTCTGTTGTTTTCTTCGTCTCTATTTCTGCTCTAATCTTTGTGATATTTTTCCTTCTACTAACTTTGGATTTTGCTTGTTCTTTCTCTAGTTGCTTTAGATATAAGGTTAGGTTGTTTGAGATTTTTCTTATTCCCTCAAGTAAGTTTGTATCATTAAACTTCCCTCTTAGAATTGCTTTTGTTGTGTCCCATAGGTTTTGCATCATCATGCTTTCATTTTCATTTATCTTTGTATTTTTTGATTTCCTAACGATTTCTTCTGTGATCCAGGCTCAGCAATTTTAGAGAGACAGGTTTGTGCTACCAGTGTGTATGTATGCTTATGTTGCTAATATTTTCTCATAGAAACATTTCTCACTTCAATGTGTTAATGACGAAAAAGCCATCACAAAATGTTGTTTTGTGAATTTGTTTATCAAATAGCAAATCTCAGTGTTATATTCTAATTTGGTGAATGTAGAATACATGAACCCAAATATTAAATATTCTTCCTAATGTATATAGCTTGTGTTCATTAAAAATATATAGAAAATGGCATAATGAAATGATATCATTATCATTCCAAACAAGAATTTAAAACATTTTCTTTGCATATCACTGAATGTTCTCTTGGATTTATAGAGTACTAAATCTTTGAATGTCATTAATTTTCAAGAAGAAAAAGAATGAGAGAATTCATCTTCAGGTCCTTTATGAAACAAGGTATAATCAAATGATACAAGTTTACATATATGGAAATTATAGGAAGAATCTTAAAAAAATGTATATAGCTGTACATGCAGATATGATATAATTTCTTAACTATAAGACCCTAAGTCCTAAAGTTGGTTTAATATCAGTTATTGTAATGATCATTTTTAGTCAGATAACTCCATTAAAATTAATATTTTAACTGCTGATTAGATATTTTATCATTTCTGTTACAGACAAATGACAACATATAACACTGAAGAAAACTGGCAGTCCAATTAGCATGAAGAAAGTGGGCAGTTTGGAAGGAAAAGAATTTGCCTAAACCTCAAGTGGAAAGAGCATATGTTAGTTGGGTAGATTTAGTTGGGTAGATTTAAAGGAAATTGTCTAAGTTCCTTCTTGTAAATAACAGACACATGGCATAAGTTACTCAACAATTTGGAAGCTAACTCAAACTCCTCGATTCTTCACTCTCAGAATCTACCATCAGTCTTTGTGGCTCAGTCCTCATCAGACATGTGTGGCTTTTGATAGATTTAGACTTTCCAGTACCTGAAATACAGGTAAAGAGCTTTAGAGCTTCACTGAAGAATGACCGCATGCATATGTGCACATGGCTAATTATGAATCTGATAATTACTATTTTTTCTAGTCTTATCATATAATGTATGTGACTTTATTAACATGAAAAACCTTCAATAAATAATAAAGCTGGAGACAGTTATTTTAAAAAATTTCTGTAATCAAGCAAAGCATATTAGTATGTGACATTGGAATTACCAGTAAGTATTACAGTTTTGGTTACTAGAGTCATAACAAACAAAGAAGCAAAATGCATTGAAAACTAAAATTCCTAAGTTTGATATGACTAGCAGTAATATCTTCCAGTTTTCTATGTGTGAAAGTAGATAAAAATTATTTGAAATATACTTTAAAGACAATTCTACATCTATTTACAAATAAAGTGACATATATATACAAATAAAGTGATATATATATATAAACAAACATGGAAGCAGGAAAATAAATAATGAGTTAATGTTAAATGAGGCTGTCCTTGAATTTTAAGTACCCAATAATAAACATCTATACAGTCTTTGCCCACCTTTTCCATTAGCTGTCATGACAGATATTTAAAATATATATCTTATCCCTTTTTGATAATGGCTGTGTTCAGTAGAGTAGGGGGCAAGCTGTGAAAACATAGAACTTAGAGGATCTGACCTCACATAGCCTCTATAGAATGGTAACCTTCTTGAAAAAGAATACTTTCTCCAATACTGACTGGCTTTTTTTCACTGTATTATAACTCCTAAAGATTCACATACTAGAGGCTTTGGGGGGATTAATAAAGATTCTTTGGTTTGATTCCTGGGTTGGGAAGAGCCACTGGAGAAGGGATAGGCTACCCACTTCAATATTCTTGGACTTTCCTGGTGGCTCAGCTGGTAAAGAATCCACCTGCAATGCAGGAGACCTGGGTTCAGTCCCTGGGTTGGGAAGATCCCCTGGAGAAGGGAAAGGCTACCCACTCCAGTGTTCTGGCCTGGAGAATTCCATGGGCTGTAAAGTCCATGGGGTCACAAAGAGTTGGACATGACTGAGCGACTTTCACTTTAAAAAAAAATACCATAAACATGTTTGGATGCTTAGAAATTCACATGAACAGATCCAACTAAATTGTTCAAAAAAACTAAAATTAATTACACTCTGAGATCTGAAGTTTCATTCCTTTTACACTACACGTATAGAAGAAAGATGGAGATCCCAGGCCTTAATTGAGAAAGGGATGTGGAAAGGGTGTTGGGCCCGCAGGGGTAAGGGAGAAGAAACTTCCTTTTCCTATGCATCAGGACCCTTAGAGAACTGAGGCAGAGCCTGATGCTACTGATGTTCTATTGTGCTATGATATGCTTTAGCTCGGGCAGATTACCCTGCAGGTCTATTGATCTTTTATGTGGTTTAACATATAACTATCTTACAGTCTTTGGAGCACTATCCATTTGAGATAGGAACAACCTGTATTAGAACATAAACAAATGTAGATAAGTATAAACGAATTTTCAGATCCAACGAACCAAAGTACTTTGTAATTTACTGATAACACTTGAATAACTTTCATTTTGTAGCATTTGAAAGGACCCTGCTTATCAGACACTTCTGTCTATAGCACATATTAGATGTTTTTAGACATGCTGGAAATATTTGTGCAAAGTCAATTAGGTAAAGACTGGCTTTGGTAAATGACAACGATAAATGATTAATTCCTTTTTAAGTTTAAGACCTTTGGTGCCATATTTTCATAGTAATAACTTCTAAAGGTTCAACACAACTGTGCAGGTACTTTGTAACAATTGTCACATGCTTATGAGCATCATAAAATACTGAATCTCCTAAGAATCTAAAACTTCCTGATGATAGTTTTTATTAAGAATTTGGTAAATTATCTTAATAGAAGTTTTTCAAATGTGACAACAGTTTGAAAAACTTATGATTTTAAAAGAATATAAAATTACTTAAAATTTACAATTAAGTACTCTTATTTCCAAAACATATTGATGGCACATACTTAGTGCATACTTTTAAGTTTTTCCTTTCAAAGATAAATTTTACTCTGTATTTAATCCTTAAGTACTAAGCAATTTAAAAAATGGAGTGTTACTATATAATTTAGACTTTAATGTAACAGTACATTAAATAAAATAATTTTTTACATTAAATAGCTTAAGAAAGGCTTTTATAAAAGATAAAAAGAATATCAAGTTTTAGTTACAAATTTAAATAAATATGTAATTTAAAACATGGACAGGAAAAAGCCAATGTAAAAAAATACTGTCATATGTAGTGAATTATTAGACATAATTTTAAAGATTTAATTTATACAAATATTGTCTCAGGAAGAAAAAAAGCTTTGCCGAACATTATAGACCCAGGTTCATATTGAACTCAAAGTATTAGGAAGATTAAGTGATTCTCTGAACATCAGTGAGAAGTGTGTGGAAGATGGAGGTCACCCTTTGAAAGAAAATCTCTGTGACCTGTGTAAATAGAAGCCCCACAAACACTTCCAACAAGTACAGGTCACAATAGGGTCATGGCTCCAGGCCCTCTGGACCACTGTTCGCCCAGAGGGGTGTGCTCACCGCGTTAATCTCTCGTCCTTCAGTTCCAAGTCCGCCACAGTGATGAGCTGATCCAGCTTGAATTTAGTGTCAATAATTTCTGCATCCCGAGGAGAATATGTCCCACCTTCTTTCTGCTTCTGTCGAATTCTAAAAGTAAGTATAGTAAAGTTCAGGGAGGAACTAGCATAGAAAGCATGTATTTGTATTTAGATTTCTTTTTAAGACATTAGTCAAATAATTTCTTTATTGGGATCACTTCTGTGAACACATTGCAAATTTATAGCTACTCAAATTCTTCTCCCTGTTTTAATTCCACAGACTGTATTCTATAATTTTTTAACATGATATTTTTAATGAGAATTAGTTCTTCAAGGCCTGAGTCACTGACACATTTAAAGTATAGAGTGAACGAGACGGATGTTGTGAGCTTGTGTCTCCTCCCTCAAGCTGTCCCGTAGATTTATCATAAAAAGGAAATATGCCAATGTGGACACAGCTCATTGCTATCAGCACCAGTTCAAATAGACAACCTTCTACTGTTTTTACATGCATAAAATACTTATGACAAGATATGTAAGTGTTTTATACATACTTGGCAATATTTTTATATCTAAATATAATTATATATTCTTTATATAATCTAAGACTATAATATAGAACCAGAAAACTCAGGTTCAAAAATAGAAGTCACATGAATCTGCAAATCAAATTGATGTTAAACATAAAGTAATATTTAGCTTTTCTATCTTTTGTACTGCAAATATTTAATACTTATTATGATTTATGTGTTGAGGATGATGCAGAAAGTATAACATATGGTCCTTATCCTCAAGGATATAATTTAGTTGAGAAGGACTGGAATGTAGAAAAGCATACAGAGGAAAAATATTCAAATTACAACTTGTAAAATAGTAATTGATCAGTTATGAAACGATATGTGATTACAACTATTGGCACTTGGAAGAAATAAAAAGTAGAGTTTGACTTGGGTGTCACAGAAGGCGGAGGAAGCACACTTATAGTTGACTGAGCACAAGCAGCAGTGTGTGAAAGCCTAGGGGACCTTCAGGTGAGGTTGAACTCTGTTGGCTGAAAAGCCACATGTAGGAAAGTTGTAGGGAATAAGAGGGGGCCGTTTTCTGCCCAGTATAGGAGCTCATCCTATAAAGAAATGATTTGGGAGCAGAAGAACACTGTAAATACAGTGGTTGCATGTCCCTTGGGGAAAAGGACCATAGCTGGCACAAGATAACTCTCACCGTTCTGGCTGAATCTGAGAACACTATCTAGTGTAAGAAAAATATCTTTCAAGAGCCCTTCAAATTTTCTATCAAAATGATAATTTAAAAGGTTCAAGATGAAATACAGGATGCTTGGCAAACACAATACAGGACAACACTCTTCAGATAAAACAACCTACTGAGCTACTTAGGAAATTGGTATAATGGTTATTTTTACAAATGGAAGGTCCCTTTAACTTGGCAATCTATCTTATGAAACTGGATTTTAGAATCACAACTAAGATTTTCCCTGTGCTGTGTGCAGCATTTAGTAGCTCAGTCGTGTCCGACTCTTTGCGACCTCATGGACTGTAGCCCACCAGGCTCCTCTATCCATGGGGATTCTCCAGACAAGAATACTGGAGTGGGTTGCCATGGCCTCCTCCAGGGGATCTTCCCAACCCAAAGATCAAACCTGATTAAAATATTTCTAATTAAACCTAATGGAGTTATAAATATTCAAAGATGTAGAAAGCCTGGCACCTTCCCCTTTTGTGTAAACCTCTCTCCATCCTTCTTTGTCCCGCTTTGAGATATTGGAGCTAGACTCCTTGGCCAGCCGGTGGGATGTTGAGCCATTTAATAGAAGACACGAGTCATCCTGCAAGGCAGTAGGGACAGGAAGATACTTCCCTTGTGTGTTCTAGGACTGCATTATCATAATTCATTGTGGAAGGCCAGTAGTCCACCTAAATGAGTTCTAACTGCTTCTAAAGTTCATGCTGTCTCCATCCCATCATTGAGATGCTAAGTAGCTTCAGCCCATCCACAATCAGGCAGCATGGAATGCTTTCACTGTCTAATTCCAGGCTGCGTACCCTCCAGTAATGATGGGCATTTTCTACAGACCAGCTCCAGCTGCTTTTGCTGTAATAGGATACATGTGCCTGTGGTGGCCATTCCATGACAAACTTGGGAGCAAGACAACTTCTTCAGTTTGTTCACGTATTGTCCACTTTCCCTTAGACTAGAGCGAGGAGCTTTGTTGCAGTTGCTACTTTTGAATCCCTTAGTGTTCTCTTACTCCTTTAATAGTTGACTGTATTTGTTCAGTTCAGTCACTCAGTCATGTCCGAATCTCAGCATGCCAGGCCTCCCTGTCCATCACCAGCTCCCGGAGTTTACTCAAACTCATACCCATTGAGTCGGTGATGCCATCCAGCCATCTCGTCCTCTGTCGTCCCCTACTCCTCCTGCCCCCAGTCCCTCCCAGCATCATGGTCCTTTCCAACGAGTCAACTCTTCACATCAGGTGGCCAAAGTACTGGAGTTTCAGCTTCAGCATCAGTCCCTCCAATGAACACCCAGGACTGATCTCCTTTAGGATGGACTGGTTGGATCTCCTTGCAGTCCAAGGGACTCTCAAGAGACTTCTCCAACACCACAGTTCAAAAGCATCAATTCTTCGGCACTCAGCTTTCTTCACAGTCCAACTCTCACATCCATACATGACCACTGGAAAAACCATAGCCTTGACTAGATGGACCTTTGTTGGCAAAGTAATGTCTCTGCTTTTTAATATGCTATCTAGGTTGGTCATAACTTTCCTTCCAAGGAGTAAGCGTCTTTTAATTTCATGGCTGCAATCACCATCTGCAGTGATTTTGGAGCCCCCAAAAATGAAGTCTGACACTGTTTCCACTGTCTCCCCATCTATTTCCCATGAAGTGATGGAACCAGATGCCATGATCTTAGTTTTCTGAATGTTGAGCTTTAAGCCAACTTTTTCACTCTGCTCTTTCACTTTCATTAAGAGGCCTTTTAGTTCCTCTTCACTTTCTGCCATAAGGGTGGTGTCATCTGCATATCTGAGGTTACTGATATTTCTCCTGGCAATCTGGATTCCAGCTTGTGCTTCTTCCAGCCCAGCATTTCTCATGATGTACTCTGCAAATAAGTTAAATAAGCAGGGTGACAATATACAGCCTTGACATACTCCTTTTCCTATTTGGAACCAGTCTGTTGTCCCATGTCCAGTTCTAACTGTTGCTTCCTGACCTGCATACAGGTTTCTCAGGTGTATGTCAGGCAGGTCAGGTGGTCTGGTATTGCCATCTCTTGAAGAATTTTCCACAGTTTATTGTGATCCACACAGTCAAAAGCTTTGGTGTAGTCAGTAAAGCAGAAATAGATGCTTTTCTGGAACTCTCTTGCTTTTTCGATGATCCAATGTATGTTGGCAATTTGATCTCTGGTTCCTCAGCCTTTTCTAAAACCAGCTTGAACATCTGGAAGTTCACGATTCATGTATTGCTGAAGCCTGGCTTGGAGAATTTTGAGCATTACTTTACTAGCATGTGAGATGAGTGCAATCGTGCGGTAGTTTGAGCATTCTTTGCGATTGCCTTTCTTAGCGATTGGAATGAAAACGGACCTTTTCTAGTCCTGTGGCCACTGTTGAGTTTTCCAAATTTGCTGGCATATTGAGTGCAGCACTTTCACAGCATCATCTTTCAGGATTTGAAATAGCTCAACTGGAATTCCATCACCTCCACTAGCTTTTTTCGTAATGATGCTTTCTAAGGCCCGCTTGACTTCATATTCCAGGATGTCTGGCTCTAAGTGAGTGATCACACCATTGTGATTGTCTGGCTCATGAAGATCTTTTTTGTACAGCTCTTCTGTGTATTCTTGCTACCTCTTTAATATCTTCTGCTTCTGTTAGGTCCATACCATTTCTGTCCTTTATCAAACCCATCTTTGCTTGAAATGTTCCCTTGATATCTCTAATTTTCTTGAAGAGATCTCCAGTCTTTCCCATTCTGTTGTTTTCCTCTATTTCTTTGCATTGATCGCTGAGGAAGGCTTTCTTATCTCTCCTGGCTATTCTTTGGAACTCTGCATTCAGATGGGAATATCTTTCCTTTTCTCCTTTGCTTTTCGCTTTTCTTCTTTGCACAGCTATTTGTAAGGCCTCCTCAGACAACCATTTTGCCTTTTTGCATTTCTTTTCCATGGGGATGGTCTTGATCTCTGTCTCCTGTATAATGTCACGAACCTCCACCAATAGTTCATCAGGCTCTCTGTCTATCAGATCTAGTCCCTTAAATCTATTTCTCACTTCCACTGTCTAGTCATAAGGGATTTTATTTAGGTCATACCTGAATGGTCTAGTGGTTATCCCTACTTTCTTCAGTTTAAGTCTGAATTTGGCAATAAGGAGTTTATTATCTGAGCCACAGTCAGCTCCCGGTCTTGTTTTTGCTGACTGTATAGAGCTTCTCCAGCTTTGGCTGCAAAGGATATAATCAATTTGCTTTTGGTGTTGACCATCTGGTGATGTCCATGTGTAGAGTCTTCTCTTGTGTTGTTGGAAGAGGGTGTTTGCTATGACCAGTGCCTTCTCTTGGCAAAACTCTATTAGCCTTTGCCCTGCTTCATTCTGTACTCCAAGGCCAAATTTGCCTGTTACTCCAGGTGTTTCTTGACTTCCTGCTTTTGCATTCCAGTCCCCTATAATGAAAAGGATATCTTTTTTGGGTGTTAGTTCTAGAAGATCTTGTAACTCTTCATAGAATCCTTCAACTTCAGCTTCTTCAGAATTATTAGTTGGGGCTTGGATTACCATGATATTGAATGGTTTGCTTTGGAGACGAACAGAGATCATTCTGTCATTTTTGAGATTGCATCCAAGTACTGCATTTCGGACTCTTTTGTTGACTATGATGGCTACTCCGTTTCTTCTAAGGGATTCCTGCCTACAGTAGTAGATATAATGGTCATCTGAGTTAAATTCACCCATTCCAGTCCATTTTAGTTTGCTGATTCCTAGAATGTCAACATTCACTCTTGCCATCTCCTGTTTGACCACTTCCAGTTTGCTTTGATTCATGGACCTGACATTCCAGGTTCCTCTTTACAGCATCGGACCTTGATTCTATCACCAGTTCCATCCACAACTGGGTATTTTTTTTGCTTTGGTTCCATCCCTTCATTCTTTCTGGAGTTATTTCTCTACTGATCTCCAGTAGCATATTGGGCACCTACTGACCTGGGGAGTTCTCTTTCAGTATCCTATCATTTTGCCTTCTCATACTGTTCATGGAACAGTTGTTATTATTAAATGCTTCCCGTTCTAGTAACCACTGTGGGCTTCTGTCTCCTAATTAGACTGTAACTGCCCATAAAGCATCTTAGGAATAAGTCTTATGCAAATAGTCTTACCTTGCAAACGCAAAAACAGCTGTTCCAAGAAGAATGATGGAAAGGATACACAAAGTGACTGAAAGTATAATCTCTACAGTTCGTTCTGAAAGTCCTTCACCTGAAGAGAAAGTGTAACATGATCATTAATTATTATTATATGGGATACTATGTTGGGTCTAAAATAAAGAAAGATATACTTCGGCCTATTTCTCAGTAACATTAACAAAATGTACACATGTGTTTATCTTGTAGATCTTTTAACTTTGGGGCTCAATCCTTGGTCCTCTTTTTCTACCTACACTCACACCCTTGGTACACTCAAGCAAACTCATGGTTTTAATTTTCATCTATATGATGATATCTAGTTAACTGTAATCTAAGGAACTCCCAAATTGTATATCCAGTTGCCTACCCTACATCTTTACATAGAAATTTAATTAAATTTTAAAAATCAAAATGTCCCAAACTGAACACCTATCCGTCTTTTGTTTCAACTGCATCTTTCTTCTTCTTAGTTGATGCCAACTTCATTTGTTCTAGTTGCTCAGTCCCCACATCGTGCAGTCATACTTGACTTTCTCATTCACAGAACACATCCAAAATCTCTGAGGAAATCCTGTTGACTCTAAGTATACACATTTTTCACTAAAAGAAACCAGGGAAAATTGGAGAGATAGTAATCCCAAATTGTGATTAGAGCACAAAAGGAATTTGGGACATCTAATGGGGCAAGACAGCTAAGAAACTATCAAAGGCTAATGGTGTAGAAAGAACAAAAGGTCATCTTTAAGAGGTCCTACTGGCCAAAGATGGAACATTTTAAACTTTATGATGAATAAAAACTGAAACTGATAGAAATATATTCAATATCAGTATAAAAATCCATGAGTTCTAATATTATTCAATGAAACAGAAATGAAAATTAAAAAATACTACTTTGTAACCTCTGGTTTTAGCTAAATTACTTTTCTTTCACTCTCTAAAACTTTGAAATTAAAGGGAGAAAATTAAGCATTTTCCCCCTGGCTTTCTATTTTTATGAATTTTAAAAAGCCCTAATTAAGGAGAAAAAGCTCCTTTTTAGAGGAAAATTCTGTTTAATAAATGTGGAAGAAATAATAAAATTGGAAATTAATTTTGCATTCCTAATGAAATAACTGACTCAGGTAACAGTCACAAATGCATCTTTAAATGACTAGGAGGTTAATAGGGACTTGAACATTTAGGGAATGTCAGCCTATCACCTCACAGATTATTTGCTGGTTATAACATGGGAAAAAAACTTCTAGTGAAGAATCATGCTGGCAGTATCACTAAATTAACTGATCAACTTTAACATCACTGAAAATGTGACGAGACATTATATACCTCCTGATGTGAGGTATTTTGATCTACACAGCAACACTTGTAAAGTATTCCTGCCAAAATGTTCATTGTGCATATTCAGACCTTTAGATCTTATCTCTAATTTATAAGAAAGTAGGAAAAGTAGTTCAAGAATAAAATGACATCAATAAAGAGCAATGAGACAAATTCAGAACATGGAACCCCTTACAGGACAGCTCATCTAGTTGCCTAAATGAGTCTTTGGCATAGGAGTGGGGAGGCGGGAGGAAGAAGTCTCTTCTAGATGAAAATAGATAGAGAAAGGGTGAAAACTGTTAGTCACTCAGTTGTATGTGATTCTTTGCAATCCCATGGACTATAGCCCGTCAGGCTCCTCTGGCCATGGGATTTTCCAGGGAAGAATACTGGAGTGGGTTGCCATTTCCTTCTCTGGGGTATCTTCCCAACCCAGGGATCAAACACACATCTCCTGCATTGCAGGTGGATTCTTTACCATCTGAGCCACCAGGGAATCCCGGATTAAAAGACACAACAATAAAAAAAAAAATGTGAACCTCTCATTTGATCCTGTTTCAAAAAATTATAAAGAAAAAAAATCAGAGGATGTTTTGAAAATATGTGGTTTTACATAATATCAAGGACTTAACATTAATTTTAACTGCAACAATATAATAAAAACAGACTTATTAGAGAAATAAGCTAAAGTATTTGGAGTGGAAGATAATGCTTTCTGTAATTTAAAAATACTTCAGAAATAAAATGACCAAGGCACAAATAGAGCAGATGTGGCAAACTTCATAGGCACTTGGGGCTCATTATACTATTCGAAACTTTTGTGTATTCTCTATTCTCCTTTTACTAGCTCTTCTGCAAGTAACCTGATCAAGGCCACCATCCTGTTTTGCATGAATTATTGTATGGACACCTAACAAGTCTTCCTGTATCTATCCTTGTCTTCTATGTATTCTCAGCATAGTAAGCAAGAATAATGCTTTTAACATATTACCTCTCTACTTAAAACCCTCCTCATCTCTCACAGATAAAATCCAAAGCCCTTCCAATGGCCTACACCATAGGTTAATGGTCTCTGGTCCTTCATTAACACTCTGGTTCCCCGTCATCTCTTTGACTTCCCTTCCAATCACCACCTGGCTTACTGCTTTGGAGCCAGGCTGTCCTTATTGTTCTTGGGATACACCAGATCACTTTTGAAACAGGGCTTTGTCCAGCTTCTTCATGGGCCTGGAAAGGGATTTCTCTTGTAGATCTTCCTGGCGAGCCATGTCATTACCTTCAGGAATTTTCTCAAATATCACCTAGTGAATGGCACCTCTTACAGACTGATTATATGTGTCCCTCCAAAATTCATATGCTGAAACCCTAACACAAATACAATGTGACATTACTTGAGTAAGGATGTCCTTAATGTTATTTGAGGTCTTAAGGACTGAGCAGAATTAGTGTCGTTTTAAGAAGAGAATGCCAGAAACTATTCTCTTCCTCTGTGTGCACATACTGAGGAGAGGCCACAGGAGGACGTAGCGAAAAGGAGGAGACCGCTCACCACATACTGAGCTGGCTGGAACTCTGTGTTGGCCCTCCTACCTCCAGAACTGTGAGAAAGCAACCTTGTTGTTTAAGCTATGTCTATGGTATTCAGGATGAGATGGCTGGACGGCATCACCGACTCGATGGGCATGAGTTTGAGTAATCTCCGGGAGTTGGTGATGGACAGGGAGGCCTGGTGTGCTGTGATTCATGGGGTCACAAAGAGTTGGACACGACCGAGCGACTGAACTGAACTGAACTGATGGTATTTGTAATGGCAGCCTGGGCAGACTCGGAGATTACCCGATTTAAGATGGAAAGTTACAACTCCTCCACTTCCTGTCTTCCCCCTCCCACCTCCTCTGCACTCCCTTCTGCTTTTCTTTCCCCCTCCATGACCCTCTTAACATATCTTAAAATTCATTTATTTATCATACTACCCATCCAGAAGTAGGATTCCTGAAGACAGGAGTCTTTATTTTATTCACAACTGTATATGAAGTCTGAGAATAATATCAGACACATAGCAAATATTAAATACTTTAAAAATTTACTGGTTAAAAATTCAGTTTTGAAGTAGAAATTAAAAGTCTTCAGGTTGAAGATTAGGCATTAAACCAAATAACTATAAAGCGTTTGTTTTTTATACAGTTAGTAATTATCATCAATTTTAAGTTATATAATTTTACTGTAAAAAGTATTAAAGTCAGGTGACAACATAGGTTAACTATTTGTAAAATACACAGGGATTAATGTTTCACCTTTATTCCCCTGACTTGGTGCTTATAAATGTTAACAATCAGAGTTTCATGGTCACCTAGAATCTTCACCTAAATTTAGAAGACACTAAATGAGCATATAATAGCTCATATAGTATTTTAGATACACCTTTTTTACACATTAAAATATAAATGGCTTGTTTCATAAATTTTCACATGCTTATTCCTAACTGGATATGCTTGAGAAAGGAAACATGAAGATGAATAAAGAATCATCTTTATCAGGTAGTATTGAGTCACTAGACCTTGGAATCTAGTGGGGAAAAAAAAATGACTTCATAGACCATAGAAATTTTCAGATTAGATTACCATTTCAAAGCACCAGCCAAGTGAAGTGAAGAAATGACATATAATGTATTAATAAACAGTAGGTAATCCTTTGGGCACATGCATTACAAATGTACTACTAGGGAAGGACAAAATGTACTGTGATTTTCCAGTACAAATTTTGATTCACCGCTATGTATGTACCCACAGAGCATTACCAGTACAGAATGAAGTTATTCTCTAAGTCCTTTCACAGAAAATGGAACTCTTCTGCTTGAAAGTATGAGCATTCTTTTTTTAATACATACAAGTCATTTCCTAATGAGACTTAAAATCCTATGAAAGGTCAAATCATTTTATTTCATAACAGAATGTTCCACTGTAATTAAGCAAATCATAATTATAAAGCATTAATTTTTCATAAGTATTATCTTTTGATTAAAGTTATCATTATTTAAACTCAGCCTATGGATCTAACTTTTTAAGCTACTTTTATATCTCTAAGAAGAAGGTTGAATTAAATGAGTTATAAAGCTACTAGGACAATGTCTGTCTCTTGATACAGATACATATTACATAACAGAATGTGACTTTGAGCCTTATAACTCATTTATTATGACAGAACTTAAGTAAAAAAGTTCTCTTTTAGCCCTGTACTAGCCATCCAAAATATTTAAATACTGCACAAAGAGCTTACTAAAAGTCATTCTATGTCATAATTCAAGAAATATCTATTAAAATACCCTAAATAAATGTTACTTTCATATATCAGCTATGCAAAATATTAGACGTAGATACTAAACAATTGTTTCCAAGATGTAGAGAAAAGTCACACTTATTGTTTACAAAAAACAAAAGGAATTACTGCATTTTTATGTGTAAAAATAAAGCATACTTATGTATTAATGCTAGCCTTAAAAAACTGAGAAGGTGAAAAGAGAAAAGCTAGAAATAGTTTAAAATATTGAGAAGAGAAAATGGTACAGCAAGGATAGGAAGTGTGCAGGAGCAGAAAAATTAGCAACAGTGATGAAACTGAAAGCTGCTTGGGTACTTAGTAATTTCTAGGCAACACAACATTGCCTGAAGTCAGGTTGCCTGGGTCTAAAAGCTGGCGGTGTACTTCCCCAGCTCTGTAACCTTGGGCAAACTGCTTAAAGACCCAGTTCAGATTTCA